TAAGTTCTCTTATTCATATATAACAATAATTCAGTCGCTTTACTTTAATTTAACTATTTTAATATTAAAAACCTTTTTCGAAATTGATTATTTAATTAATAATTATTAAAATTATATTCAATTTGCAGCAATTATTAATAAAAATATTTATCCTATAAAAAATTCCATTATTCCAAAAAAACGCACGTATCGAAAAACGAATAAAAATGATAAAATTATTCCAGAAAAATTGGTAACTATAATTATATTAATATATTTATTCGATTTAGCTATGTTATTGGGGTTTGTCTGATTCAAAAATATAAAATAAACTATCAACCCCCTTAATATAAATGCGGTAACATAATGTTTAATATTATTCTGCTATTTTTTCTATTAGATTTATATGGGAAATTCAATTTTTATCGAAGATAATAATATAATATTAAGTATAGTTTATTTGTTTATTTAAATATCTCTTTGGTTACCTAGAATATGATGCAGCAAAGAGAATTCGGAACACTTTTTCAGAATGAAAAATCTGAAAAATATAAAAATGAAATTTTAAATTCAACAGAAAAAAAAAATATAGCAATTTCAAAAGACAATCTGCTATTAATATCAGCTGATTTGTTAGAAAAGGTATATTCTATTATGCTTTATTTCAATAAAAAGATTTTAGGGTATACCCTAAACCATTTTTTGGACTTAAAGCAGATTTCTTAAATAAATATATCATATAATTCAATATATTTTTATGATCCGTTAAGAGTTTTCATAAGAAAAATTTGGAACGCAAAAAATCCGAAATAAAAAAACAATATTTTGAGATATCTTCTAATACTACTGCTCGACCAAATTTAAAAAGAAATTCATCCGAAGAAGATGAAAAAGTCATAAAAAGTATACAACTTTTAAAATATAATTCATTTTTATATTTCATTAAAAAATATGATGTTTTGATTTTTGAAACAAATATGTAATAGTTTTAAACATAAATTATTTTAGAGCCAAAAGTTAGTTCTAATCCTTTGACCTTAAATACGCCGAATGACGTAAATTTACTTGCTCTGTCCACTATTGAAGTAATAAAAGTACCAGAGAAAGAAAAAGGTAATTAGTTATTTAATCTATTTATTTTATGTAAAATTAAATAAAAAAAGATTATTTATTAAACATAATTAATTATAATAATACGAGTTAAATTAATATAACTTCTGCAGAGGCGTGTCATTAAGGGGGTCCATGGACGTTTTAAACAAAAGTAATTATACGTGTTTAATTTCATATTCCAAAACCTTAAATAAACCTAAATAATAGTAAACTGTTCAACAAAGTCTTTTATTAATTTTATGAAAAATGTTTAAATATGGTTACACTTGCAGAAGTAATGCAAGATCAGAACACAAAATCTCTTGATCAGTATAATGCACCTTCATTTAAATCGCCCACATCATGGTATACTTCAGACACAATTAATGAGTACATTAAAATGATAGTAAAACGGTCAGAAGGTGAAGTTTATGCAGTTGTCACTGATTTTATTGTAGCGTATCTTCGAGGAGGTTATCCAGCTGTAAGAAGATGGATAAAAAAAGATATTCACACAATAAAATTACTTTTTGTGCCCATGAATGTATATGAGAGTCATTGGATATTGACAGTGGTTAATATACCTGAAAAGACTGTGACATCATATGATAGTCTTAAGTCGTATGAGGGTCCCTATCCAATGGTATTAAAAAATTTCTTAATTGAATGGGAGATGGACAAAAAAGGAAAAGCTTCTACATGGACATTACAAATAGGCGAGACATCTCGCCAAACCAATGGACATGATTGTGGGCCATTTACTGTTGAGCTGGCAGAAAAAATGTCTCGAGGAGATACAACACCAATAAATGCAAATTTTATGCCTTTTATAAGATTAAGACACAAAAATGAAATTATTGCTGGCGAGCTATTCAATTAAAATTTTTATGAATGAAATTTTTTTTTTGTATTTTATATCAATTTTCTTAATATTTACTATAAATTGAAATTTTTATTTATATACCACCAAAAATTTTTTGACTTTTTCTATGTTTAATTGTTGTTTTGTTATTTTATTTTAATCTTATTTTTCTTTGTAACATTTCATTTAAGAAATTCAAATTTAATATAAATTTATCTTAACTGAAATAATTTAATGTTCTTGTTATGTGAATATACAAATATTATAATATGCAGTTATGGATACAATTAAGTTAAAAAGTCAGCCAATTATAAATTTTTAAATTAACAAGCGTATCTACTATCTTAACAACTTAATTTAATTTTACTAAATGACGATTCATAAAGAATTTCATAACTTTTGTTTATTTTTTAAATACTATTTTAATTATAAAAAATTGTTTTCTGTATTTTTTATGAATGCGGTATATTGAATAGGGGTAACTAAACTTATTTGTTTATAATTCTCTAAACTGATAAACTATAAAATAAATTTAAAAATGAACTACAAGTTCAGAATATTTCCGTTGTTATTATATTTTTGCTNAATGAACTACAAGTTCAGAATATTCCCGTTGTTATTATATTTTTGTTGTCTAAATGACCCAATGAAATCCAAATAATTTCTAGAAATCTCTGATAAAATGTAGATAAATACGTGTCGTCGAATCCTATCAAATTATCTTCAATTTTGTTATTTATTTAAAATACCATTTATTTTATAGTAAATAAATATAGTATATTATAAAAAAAGTTAATACCAATATATTAGGCATTTTTTTTAAGTCGGGGGGTGTCCAGANATTAGGCATTTTTTTTAAGTCAGGGGGTGTCCAGAAATGGAGGACACCCCCCCCAAAATACGCCACTGAATGTAATGTACTTTATTATAAAAAAAAAATTTTTGGACTTTATTTTATCTTCACGATGAAAATGGATACCAAATGCTACCGATTTTGTATTTTACATTTTTAACTTTATTATGCTATAACTTTTTAAAAAATGTATGGATCAATATAATTTTTTTTGTATAGATGCGTGATGTCTTAGCCTTTCATTGGGTATATTTTTTTTATAAATCTGACCCTTTACCTGCCCACAGGGGGGGATTTAAAATGACAACTTTTTCACAAAAAATTAACTTTTTCAACTTAACTTTTGAAAGTGTTCCGAAAAGTCTGACACTTTTATATATATCTTAAATTAAAGCTAATGTAATATACTTTATTATGAAGAAAAAAAATTTCTGACTTTATTTTGTCTTCATGGTGAAAATGACTACCGAATGCTATTTTTGTTTGAAAATACTCGATTTTATTTTTTACATTTTAGATCAATACAATTTTTATGAGAAATAATATTTATATCCCTCTTTTATTCGACATACTTTATCTTAATCAGGTAATAAATAAAGAAATAGCAGATCATGTAGCTTTTGGAATAATCAACCAATTTTTTAAAACTAAACACTATCTACAAATTTGCATCGAAGCGTTTTTTATAATAATGATTTTAATCACTGTTAGATATCATTATATTTGACCCAACTATGCCACGTCACCACTGTGCCGCAACCCCCCTGTGCTGGGTTTTTTAATATAAATTTATTTGTATGAATACAACTCAATTTCTTTATCTTCTTCTTTTTTCTCGCCTTAATCCCAACTACTTAGGGTTGGCCACCCTTATCATAAACTTCCACATGGCGTTTAAAAAAAAACAAAAATTAAAAAAAAATGTATAAAAAAATTTTTTTTATGAATATCTAATTCGATATTTGCGATATTATATCGATATCATATGAACTACAATATTGGAAAAATCAGAAAAATATCGATACACAAAATAATAACATTGCCCATTACTTATACCTATATTTTAAAGCAAACAATATCGTCATAAGTATCCTTATTTAACCCCTTCACTAAAAATAATAATATTAAAGATTCCATTTATAAATATTTTTCACAGCTTTTAAAGTCAATCCAATAGGTATATTAAAAAGAAAGGGCTTTAATTTTCAAAAATATGTTCTAGCTACCAATAGCTTATGATGAATTACAATTTCAATTTTATAAATAAAATAATTATTAACTAAGAAAGATCAGAATAATCAAATTAAAAAAATTAACCTTCTTTTTTTTTTTTTTTTGATATATCCATAATTACAGTTTTGATAGATATAATCCATTTAAGTAACGTAATATATAACTACTTTATAGCTTTTTATAATTTCTCCACAAAAATTGTAATATTAAATTTATTGAAAATCAATTTCATAATAAATTTAATTATTGTAATAAGTATTCCTTCATGTGTAATACTTATAAATCATAAAACTCGTAATCAGTATATAAATAAGGAAATATGAGTTGATGTTACTTTTAAAAATCCAACTATTCCTTCAAAAAATTAATCATTATATATAGATTTATATCGAAGCGTTTCTATGATGGCGATTTTAATCATTGTTAGATATCATCTATACTTCCAACTGAATGAACATTTATTACTATGTTCTTACCACTTCTATTATACACTAGGGTGGCCCTCAAAAATCGAATGTCTTTTTTTTTTTTACGCTACCCCTTAATTTTTTTTTAATGGTCAAAAAAATTAGCTGTGCAAAATTTGAAACCGATCCGTTAAGGTTAACCCGTGCCCCCGGGTCTATTAAGTTGAGTCGAAGAGTCAAATTTAATAGAAATAACTGATCTATGTCTCATAACTTTTTTTTCTCTTAACTTAGAATAATAAAAGTAAAACTCAAGTAAAGGAAATTTTACAAGAAATTCAAAAATAATAACTTCAATGTTGTTTTCTCAATAAATAGCCCACAAAAACACTACATACAGTAAAAAACATGTAAAAGTCTTAAAATACGTTATAACTGATTTTGTTGATTTTTAATTATTTATTTTCATTTTATTTTTTGGAAAACGCATTTTCGTTTAAAAAAAGATTCTAGAAGTTTAATTTTTTATGCCAAGTACGATAATTATATTAGATTTATTATTTTATGGACAGTTAATTAATGATTAATTACAAACCTAACAAAATTGATTGTATTATTACATTTTGTCGTATCAATATATCAATTTTGGTTTACTGAATTACTTTAAGATAGTACCAATTATATTATTATTAAAGATAAGTATATTTGAGTTATTTTCGACAACTGACATAATTTGTGTCGTATAAATGCAGCAGACAATTTGTGAACACGTTAAATATATTTTACCTGTTTATTATTATATATTAAATGATACGTTTTAATCACAAATGTACAATACTTTTAGCGTCTTTTAAAGTATTACGAACTAATATTTATCTTATTGGTAATTATTCCCACGAAATAACTGGTAGTAAGTTACCATCAAATTTACAACTATTTAATCTGAACACTGATTTTTTGAAAATTGATCCATCATTTTGGAGTGCGAACAACAGTTACATAAATGCTTTAAATACTATAAGTAAATTACGAGTCATTAATGATACAGCCTAGCGTGGCATTAAATTAATCTAAGACTACATTAATATATTAACTACAAATGAAGAACAGAAACAATACGTTTTACAAATAGTAAGTAATTATCGGAAAAAATTTCCTAATTGTAAAAAAAGTACATTATCAAAAAATATATAATAATAATATAATTTAATTATTGTTAAAATATTTTTTTTAAAGTTATTATTATTTAAAAAAAAATAAATTAAAAATTGTTAATAACAATTAAATTAAACTGTTAGGTTTGTAATTAATCATTAATTAATTGTCCATAAAATAATAAATCTAATATAATTATCGTACTTGGCATAAAAAATTTAACTTCTAGAATCTTTTTTAAATGAATATGCGTTTTCCAAAAAATAAAATGAAAATAAATAATTAAAAATCAACAAAATCAGTTATAACGTATTTTAAGACTTTTACATGTTTTTTACTGTATGTAGTGTTTTTGTGGGCTATTTATTGAGAAAACAACATTGAAGTTATTATTTTTGAATTTCTTGTAAAATTTCCTTTACTTGAGTTTTACTTTTATTATTCTAAGTTAAGAGAAAAAAAAGTTATGAGACATAGATCAGTTATTTCTATTAAATTTGACTCTTCGACTCAACTTAATAGGCCCGGGGGCACGGGTTAACCTTAACGGATCGGTCCCAAATTTTGCACAGCTCATTTTTTTGACCATTAAAAAAAAATTAAGGGGTAGCGTAAAAAAAAAAAAGACATTCGATTTTTGAGGGCCACCCTATTATACACGTTGTATTTTCATTTACTTAATTTGTAATAAATATGAATTAGCATAGAAGGAGATACTGATGTAACAATTTTACTCTTATATTGCCCGGATCTACTGACGTCCAACTAACAAAAGACAGTTGTTTTTGAGTGGCCTTTATAGACATAGTTTTAATTACTATCGTTTTTACCTCATTTGTATTATAACTAACTTAATTTATTTTATTCGACGACTTGTCTGTCGCCAATTGTCATCACAGCCAACCAACTTCGTCTTACTTGGATATATTTACTAATCATCTGTACTAGAATTCAAGGTCAGGCGTATTGTACATTGCATATAACTTATATTTACCGAAAGTTTAAAATATAACTTTACTTTGTCGTTGACATAAAACAATAGTTTAACTTTATTATATAATCTCTCTCTAGTAACTAAGGTACACAACTGACTGTATCTCCTCCAGGTAATTAAAACTTATTTAAGGAGAGAGGGACAATATTTGGGCAGACGTCGAGTAGCCTCCGATTCTTGGTTTTGACCAAGATTCCCAAGTATTAAACGAACTAACTAATTACGCCGCATCCCCTCTGTGCTAGATTTCTTATTAAGCTTTTCATTTAAACATCTATAAAAATATTAAAAAAAAATAACGAGTTTGTTACCCAACCATACCATAGATGTATGGTACATAATTATATATAAATGCATTTATAGAAAACATTGACATTATCGTTTTTAAGACTATTTTAAGACTTTTGTATAGTAATCAAAAAGTATTGAAAACAATAAGTGTTTTAAAACTAAAAAAAAAAATTTAGATATTATATTTTAGTGAAATTTATAATTGTTTTGAATTAATAGCCATAATTCATATGAGATTTATTAATGATAAAATCAAAAAAAAATGTATGTATAATAAAAAAAACTATTTGTTTTGATTGTTTTATTTTATAAAGCAAACACAGTGTAAATAAATGTTTATAAATGTATTTAATTTAATTTTTCACATATACTGTATCTGTAAAGTTTTGTTCACATTGTCGACACTTATTCTGCATTTGCATTGCACACTCATTACAAAATATGTGATTGCAGGGTAGAAGTTTTACGCTCGGTTGTATATTTTTACAGTCTTTAACTATTCTTTCACCTAGAACACAAAAAATGTTAATCATCATTTTTTAATAAATAAAGAATTTTTATATTATTCCCGAGAAAATTTTGTTAGTAACCAAAATAATCTTGAAAATATTTAGCTATAGATTATTATCAACAGAAATTTTCTTAAAAAAAAAAACAATACATTCGAGACGGGACATAATGGATACAAATATACAAAATATATATAGTACACAATATCTTGTATTAACATCTAACAATGATTTAAATCACCATCATAAGAAGCACTTCGATGCAAATCAGTAAATTGTATTTTATTTTTAGTATGTATTTTTAGATAATACTAAACGCAGCTTAGAATAAATTAATTAATTGTTTAAGTATAGGCGAAACGGACGCACAACGTTGAATTATTAACTGTGCGTTTTGGTAAAAGTATGGCGCAAAATGGTATTATTATAGATTTTAAATTATCATTGGCTCTTATATATTAGTACATTTTTTTTTAATTTTTCAAACATTTATATCTATTGAAAACCTCGACGAATTTTAATCGTAATAAATATAACGCTAAATTTTATAATAAAGTAATTTTTTTTTTAAATTGTAAATTGTTTTAATTTAATTCCGATTTCTTAAAGTAGAAACATCAACGGGTAATTTTTTTTTTAAGATTAAAATCACATCAAAAGCTTTATTTTGATATAGGTTTGCAGAGGTCTTTTGTCGACCTGCAACAACAACGTGGTTTGCCGCCTGCATAATAGCTAGTCCTTAACATAACAAAATTATATGCGATTGATATGTAAGACATACAATAGTCTGCGTCTAGATTAAGGAACATGAATAAAATACAGGCATGTATTTAAGCTACTTACGCAATAAAAATTAATTTCCGATGGTCTGGATACTTCACCGAAAAGACCTGGCCATTCGCCGTTGTAGGCTCTATTCCATCATTGAAAAAAAACAGTAACAAAAAAAATAAGAAACATGTGCAACTGCACACGGCCAATGACAGAAAGGAATAAGAATAATTAATACCGATCTAACGGCAATAACAAATCGATTTTAATTGTATTTAATCTCTCTCGTCGCCTTATCTGGTGGTCAGCGGCAGAAATAATGAGTTGTTGAGATCGCTGTGTCAGAAAAAGTTCATTCGCGCATTCTCTTGCACGATAAAAGACAGATAAATATACATAACAAAAATTATTTACGGTCCACCATCAACTTTGTGACATTACAAGTTAAAAGTTGGCAGATGTGTCAAAACATTTATGAAAATTAAGTTGAAAAAAAACTTTCATACAAAGCATATAAAAAAAAGATTTCTAGTATTATTTATTAAAATNAATTTTACATTCGTGTGTAGTCTCTTAAAATTTTCCTGTACAAAAGTTTTTCATTGAACTTTCATACAAAGCATATAAAAAAAAGATTTCTAGTATTATTTATTAAAATTACATGAGTGTTAAAAAAAAAGTTTTAAAATGCAGAAAAAAATTTTTGAAAATACAATTTCTAAATTCCACTGTTATTTTTTATTTACTGGAATGTCCCAATGAAGTAGTATCATTACAATATCAGTAATACAAAATACATACACTTTGGTAAGATAAATAAAACATGGATTGTATTTATTTTACACTTCGTTAAGATTCCCAATCAGTATGTTTTACAATTTATAACCTTTAGACTTCTATCTTTATAGTTATTGCAATTTCATAAAAAGTTTCGTCTTATAAATATATACATGTTTATTACATGTGCAATTATAATTGAAAGTTTAAATATGTACACATTTAAAAAAAACCCAGCACAGGGGGATCGTGGCACAGTGGTGACGTGGTATAGATGGATCAAGTATAATGATATCTGACAGTGATTAAAATCACTATAAAAAAAAAACGCTTCGATGCAAATCTTTAGATACTGTTTAATTTTAAAAAATTGGTGGACTATTCCAAAAGCTACATGATCTGCTAGTTCATTATTAATATCCNTACTTTCTATATGCATTTTTTATATTTGAAGCCCCCCCATATATAGGGAAATAGTCTGATTTAAAAAAAAAGTATATCCAATGAAAGATGTATATAAATACTACTTCTCATGAAAAAATTGTATTGATCCATACTTTTTTTAAAAAGTTATAGCACTTTAAAGTAAAAAATGTAAAATATAAAATCGAGAATTTTCACACAAAAATAGCATTCGGTAGCCGTTTTCACCATGAAGACAAGTCCAGAGGTCAAATTTTTTTTTTTCAAATAAAAGTACATTACATTAGCTTTAATTACATTAGCTATAAGATATATATAAAAGTGTCAGACCTTCCGGAACATTTTCAAAAGTTAAGTTGAAAAAGTTCTACTTTCTATATGCATTTTTTATATTTGAAGCCCCCCCCCATATATAGGGAAATAGTTTGATTTAAAAAAAAAGTATATCCAATGAAAGATGTATATAAATACTATTTCTCATGAAAAAATTGTATTGATCCTTACATTTTTTAAGAAGTTATAACACTTTAAAGTAAAAAATGTAAATTATAAAATCGAAAATTTTCACACAAAAATAGCATTTGGTAGACGTTTTCACTATGAAGACAAGTCCAGAGGTCAAATTTTTTTTCAAATAAAAGTACATTACATTAGCTTTAATTTAAGGTATATATAAAAGTGTCAGACCTTCCGGAACATTTTCAAAAGTTAAGTTGAAAAAGTTAATTTTTTGTGAAAAAGTTGTCATTTTAAATCCCCCCCTGTGGGCAGGTTAAGTGTCAGATTTACAAAAAAAATATACNCCCCCCTGTGGGCAGCAAAAAGGTCAAATTTACAAAAAAAAATATACCAAATAGTAAGTAAAGACATCAAACATCTATAAAAAAAAAATTATATTGATATGTTCATTTTTGAAAAAGTTATGGCAGTTTTTAGTAAAAAAAATTGAAAAAATTTCGAAAATTAGCGATTTTTAAATTTGTAATTTTTTTGGAGGTTTCC